GCCAGGAATCGGTATGGCTCCTCCTTTTCTCGAATCCCGTCAAAGAAGATTGGGAGGTAGTGGTGATAATCGAGTTTGGTGATGTCTACTTTCCAGTTGATGGTGTTTTTGCTACCCCGGTGCTCCACAGCAATAGGAAGATCGCCTCGCTCGTAAAACTTACGGAACTGTGAGGAGACCAAATGCAATGCACTCTCCATCAGACACAGAGAGGAAGTCAACAACAACACACACACACACACACACACACACACACACACACACACACACACACACACACACACACACAGAGAGAGAGGGAGAGAGAGACAGAGAGCGACAGAGAGCGACAGAGAGAGACAGAGAGAGAGACAGACAGAGACAGAGACAGAGACACAGACAGAGACAGAGACAGGAACAGACAGAGACAGAGACAGACAGAGACAGAGAGACAGAGAGACAGAGAGACAGAGAGACAGAGAGAGAGACACACACAGAGAGAGAGGGACACACACACACACACACACACACACACACACACACACACACACACACACACACACACACACACACACACAGAGAGAGAGACAGAGAGGAGTGGAGGGGAGGAACAAGAGAAGAGAGAGCAGTATTTGTTGAACTCCTTTATTTTGGGGCATCCAGTTTGCCATCATGAATACAAGTTTTTTTTGTTTTTTTGCTTTTTTTTATGTGATGTATTTCTGGGATTCATTTGGTTCAATATAAGATTTTAAATGCTGAAAGCTTTTCAGCCTTTTCTGCTTTTCTATATTCGCATTCCTGGAGCATTTTGACTCTCTGACAATTTGATAGTCTTATCATTTTGAATCTTATGATAATACTGGAATATAATTTAATGATTTTTAGTCATTAAAAAATGAGATACAACATACGCAATAATGAAATAACAAAAATACATATAAATAACATATTCATGATTTGAATCTTTGATCAATTAACGAGCCTTGGCTGGAAGCTATTCTTTTTTGCTTAGGGGGGTGTAGGGTTCAGACTTTAGGGTTTAGGGTTAAAAGTCAGGGGTAAGTTTTAACTTTTCAGGTTTAGGGTAAAAGGCAGGGGTAAGTTTTAAGGTTTAGGCCCTTTAGGGTAAGAGGCAGGGGTAAGGTATAGGGTAGGCTATACACAGTAGGGGGTTTAGGGCTTAAACCAACAGTACATGCAGCTACCAGCCGCGGGCCCTTTTCGGAGGCCGCCCGACGCCGATTCGATGTATCTACAGCGCTGGACCTCCGAAAAATTCGTAGGCAACAAGTTTTCTTTCAGCAAGGCTGGGGCCATGTACTCGCGGTTTAAGGTTAGGGTTTAGCGTTTAGGCACCAGACTTGAGAGTTTAGGGTTTCAGGTTTAGGGTTTAGGGTTTAGGGTTCAGGGTTCAGGCTTTGGGTTTAGGGTTTAGGGTAGGGTTTAGGGTTTAGGGCTTAGGGTATAATAGAGGCCACTAAGACCCTTTATTTAGAGGCCACTGAGACCCTTTATTTAGAGGCCACAAAGACCCTTTATTTAGAGGCCACTAAGACCCTTTATTTAGAGGCCACTGAGACCCTTATTTAGAGGCCACTAAGACCATTTATGAAATAACAATGAACATCAATGTATTTCAAATGGTGTTAGTTTTGCGCCGAAATCATTTAAAATTTAACAAGGAGTTAGCTGGCGAAGGGGTGGGGGTGGGGGGAGACGGGGGGGAGGGGCCTGGGGCAGGAGGGGGAGCGGAAGTGTCGCATACCAAGATGGTACAGACCAGAACCAAGAACCGACCTCTCATAGATAGAGCAGGATAGCACAGCGGAAGACTGGAATACAAATGATCAGACCCAATCAATGTCGAAATGCAGACTGGACATACATCATCATCATCACACGGTGTGAATGGCCTGGCACTGCACACCAGGACGAAGGTGCCAGGCCTAACTCATACACAGATGAGGAGGAGGGGGAAGAGACGAAGGAGAACGGGGAAGAGATGAGAATGTTGTCAACCCCAAATGTCGCTGATATCAATCCCAAACAATCCCCCCAATGTCTCTGCCCAATGTAGAGTCTAAATCCCAAATGTCGTCAATCTCTCTCTCTCTCTCTCTCTCTCTCTCTCTCTCTCTCTCTCTCTCTCTCTCTCTCTCTCTNCTCTCTCTCTCTCTCTCTCTCTCTCTCTCTCTCTCTCTCTCTCTCTCTCTCTCTCTCTCTCTCCCAGGTACTGATCTGCGAAAGGTGGTGCCTTGATGCAGGTGCGGACGTGCTGAAGACGAAGCTGGAGCAATGGCCATGCAGGTAAGTCTCAGGTAAGTCCTCTGGCCACCATCACCATCTCTCCCTCCCTGCGCTACTCTACTCTATCAGCACCCAGCGCTGGAAGACTAGTCCTATCGTCGACTACTACGGAACTGCTGTCGTCCGAAGTATGCCCCCTCGATCCTCTACTGAATGCCGGACTGAGGCTCGACCCAGCTGTATATAGCGCAGGGTCGGCCTCAGTGGCTGAGTCCTGGCGCTCAAACTGAGGCTGAGCCTCGAAAGTTTGGCGCCCAAACTGAGGCTGGGCCTCCAGCGCCTACCGAAACGGCGCGGCCTCAAAGTTAGGGTCTGGCGCCAAAACACGCGCCAGGGCCTGTACCCGAAACGAGGCCTACAGGGCCTCTAACTGGTACTGGTCCAGCTCAGCCTGAAACTCAGCCTACCGACCCTGCGGACCCTGCCGAGGGTCGAAACGACACAGACCCTACACTCTACGGACCCCTAGCCTACCTGATTGGGCCCTGCTGGGCCCGTGTGGACCTGAGTATGCCACAGGAAGACAGTAAGGAACATAGTATAGAGACTATTACAGAGGAGAAAAGAAGTGATAAACAAAAAAAAGTGAAAAAAAAAAAGAAGTGAAAGTGAGAACACAAAATTGAAATTGCGGCACGAGGAGGTGAAAATGTCTGTGCCAGTTACAGTGTATTCTTTTTATTTTCGGATAATTATTAATTTATTAATTTCCCCCTTTTTTGCGTTTTCTTTTTTGCAGCAAGAGGAGGAGAAATTGTCTTTTCCAGGTACAGGGATTTTTTTTTTTTTTTTTTTTTTTTTTTGGTACGTGTGTTTGTGCGTGTGTGTGTGTGTGTGCATTGCCTTTGTTTTTTCCAGCAAGAGGAGAAGAAAGTGCCTTTGCCAGGTTCAGTGTATTGAAATTTTTAATTTTCTCAATTTGTGTAAAGCAAAAAAAAGAAAAAAAAAATTCTCAATTTTGTGCACTAAGTGGCTCGTACCGATAAGTATCCAGGACAGATTCTTGCTTTTTGTTTTTTCCTGCCCTTTCTTTTTTTATTTCTGCCTTTTTTTTCCTTTTTTTCTATCATTTGTTTCAAAATTCAAAGGCTTCTGCTTTGCCTATAAAAATTGATATATCAATGTATATTTTATTATATTACGCAGATATGGATTCAGTGATTTTTTTTTTTAAGTGATGTGTTTAAACTTTAAAACTTAAAAGTAATTTTAAAGAACCAGATACGAAAGATGAACAGAGGCGAAAACATTTGCACAGATCGACACGCGAAATGATGACACAACCGATGACTGAAGTCCAATGAAAATCAGACATAACATGAAAGACGAACAGTCAACGTGGAGGTGGAGGTGGAGGTGGAGGTGGAGGTGGAATTGACCTCCTCTCCCAAAGGTAAGAATTTATGAAGTAACTTGTAAGTTACTCAACTCCACTCAAGCAAGAACTTACAAAGAGTAACGAGTCTAATGACTAAGTAAAAACTCCCAATTTGAAAGTAATGAGACTAAGTAAGAACTAAAGTAATTTAGTGCTTTCTTTCATCATCATCATCATCTTTTTCTTCATCTTCATCATCATCATCATCACACTTCTTCTTCTTCTTCGCCTTCTCCTTCTTCTTCTTCTTCTTCTTCTTTTATGGTGGTGGTTATTCTTCTTCTTTCTCTCTTTCTTTCTGTTTTTATATTTTTATTCTGCTGCTGCTGCTGCTGCTGGTTATGATGATGATGATGGTGATGAGGCCTACTTTGTCACTATTTCAATTTTTTTGGGCTTTTTCATTTCTATGCGTTTCCTCCTCTCTGCCTTTTTTTACCTTTCCTTCTCTCTCTCTCTCTCTCTCTCTCTCTCTCTCTCTCTCTCTCTCTCTCTCTCTCTCTCTCTCTCTCTCTCTCTCTCTCTCNCTCTCTCTCTCTCTCTCTCTCTCTCTCTCTCTCTCTCTCTCTCTCTCTCTCTCTCTCTCTCTCGCGCGCGCGCGCGCGCGCGCGCGCGCGCGTGCTCTGTGCGTGGGTTGCTGCTCTGCATCGCTGTGCTGGCTTGTTCTTCTTTACAAAAATGAAAACTTTAAGTTGATTCAAATGAAATTAATTATTAAAAAAAAGAAAAATCAAAGGAGGGACCAAGTCAGCAGCGAGGCCTGATTGTAATTGTAATTGTAAATGTAATTTATCCATCTGCACTTGTTGCCGAGACCTCATTCTGTATTTTTTTTCTCCATCGGCTGGCCTCCTCCTTTCCTCCTTTCCTCCTTTCCTTCCGTCCCTCCCTCCCTCCCTCCATCTCCCCATCCCTCTTCCTTTCCTCCTTTCCTCCTTTCCTCCTTTCCTCCTTTCCTTCCCTCCCTCCCTCCCCTTCTCCTTCCCTCCCTCCCTCCTTTCCTTCCCTCCCTCTCTCCCTTTTTCCTTCCCTCCCTCCCTCCCTTCCTCCCTTCCCTCCCCCCCCTCTTTCCATCCTTCCCTCCCCTTCCTCCGTCCCTCCCTCCCTCCTTCCCTCGTTCCTTACCTTCCCTTCCTCGGTCTCTCCCTCCGTCCTTCCCTCCCTCCCTTCCTTCCTCCATCTCTCCCTCCCTCCCTCGCTGCCTCTCTCCGTCCCTCCCTCGCTACCTCCCCTCCTGCCCTGCATTCCTCTTTCCCTCCCTCCTCCCTCCCTCTTGCCTTTCTAACCCGCTCCCTCTCCATGCTTTTCCAGCTCTTCAAACTCCCTTGCTCCCCCTTCCCTCCCTTCCCTCCCTTCCCTCCCTTCCCTCCCTTCCTGCCCTACTTGCTTCTTCCCTCTCTCCCTCCCTCCCTCCCTCCCTCCCTGCCTCCCTGCATCCCTCCCTCCCTCCCTCCCTCCCAGTGGACGATGAAGTAGAGGAAATGAAGGGGGAGAAGGGGACGAAGAGAGGAGCAGAGGCAAGGCAGTCAGCGAAACCACGACGAAGGAAGACGAAGAAGACCACCACCACAACTACCATCACGGCGGCGAAAAAGAACAAGAAGAAGAAGAAAAAGAAATTATTGTGAGGAGGAGGAGGAAGAGGAGGAGGAGGAGGAGGAGGAGAAAGTGGAAGTTGGGAGCGAAGAAGCAACAAGAAAAAGAACAAAAGACGAAGACGAAGACGAAGACGACGAAGGAGGAGGAATGGTTTGCCGTCGTCGTCCTAGTAGTAGTAGTACTAGTACTTGTAGTAGTACTAGTACTTGCAGTAGTAGTAGTAGTAGCAGTAGTAGTAGTAGTAGTAGTAGTAGTAGTAGTAGTAGTAGGATGAGGAGGAGGAGGAGGAGGAGGAGAAAGTGGAAGTTGATGGAGGTTTGTACGGGGAGCAGGCTGCCTCATCTCAATATTATGCATACGAGGGTATTTGGGGGATTATCTCGCTTCTGGTATGCCCCTGCCACAGGGGGTTCAGGCTTCGGGAGCTCCTTGGTCAGTTCACCCCGCTTTATCCTCTCCCCATCTCCCTTCCTGGTGTAGTCTTGTGGGGTCTTCCTCGCCCCTCGGTACCTATACACCCCCCCCGCCGAGTAGTAGGGTAACTCTTCCGAAGGAATGATGATCTTCTGGTGTGCTCCTGCTCGCCTTGAAACCTGCAGATGCACAACGGCCACACCCACTCTCCTCGTCCCACAACCCCCACCCACTCTCCTTGTCCCACAACCCCCACCCACTCTCCTTGTCCCACAACCCCCACCCACTCTCCTTGTCCCACAACCGCCACCCACTCTCCTTGTCCCCCCGCTGGCACAGTCAGAACCATCATTCACTCACCCAGTCGCACAAAAAAACATAACCAGTCACTCCACCCAGTCGGAAAAAGACATAACCAGTCACACAGTGCGTTACACAGCCTTAACCAGTCAGTAGTCACCCCTAACCGGTCACTCAGCCCTGTGGCACAGCCATAACCAGCCCCTCAACCCGTCGCTCGGCGATAACCAGTCACTCACCCAGTCGCACAGGCAGGCATAACCAACCAGTCACTCAACCCGTCGCACGGCCATAACTAGTCGCCCACCCAAAAATCGCACTCGTCGTCGGCCAATTGCCACACACACTCGTTGTCCGCCAGCCGCACAGTCATAACCAGTCACTCACCCACTCGGACGACCATAACCCGTCGCTCACCCCAGTGGCACTTGTTGTAGCCCAACGGTCGCACACACTCGTTGTCAGCCAGCCGCACAGTCATAACCAGTCACTCACCCACTCAGCCAGCCATTCGCCCTGTCGCACAGTCATAACCAGTCACCCACTCGGCCAGCCATTCGCCCTGTCGTCACTCCACCCGTCGCACAGGCATAACCACTCAGTCCCCCAGTCGGCAAACCATAACCAGTCGCTCACCCAGTCGCACAGTCTGAACAGTCACTCACCCAGTCTCACACTCATATATACACCCAGTCACTCACGCCGTCGCACACTCGTAATCTGTCCCTTGCCCCATCACACAGTCATCACCAGTCCCTCACCCCGTCGCACAGTCATAACCAGTCAGTCGCCCAGACGCACGTTCAAGGACCCTTTTTTTTTCTTTTTCTTTTTTTTTTGGGTTCAGGGACCGAATTGGACTGCCTAAGTCCCCTTTTTGCCCAGTACGATAGAATACAACATACTATAATATACATATTAATATCTAAACATCTCATATATATACATATATATCAAATATAATAGAACATATTGTGTAATATATATTTTATTATTTTCTTGGATAAAATCAAAGCTGAGCTTTCTAAAAGGGCCTTTACCCGATATAGGCCTCAGGCCTTGTAAAAATAAAGCAGCACGGGCCTTGAAAAAGTAAAGCATTGTGAAAAGGTATCTCGTCAGAGCTCAGAAACGTGAAAGCAGGTCAAAGGTCAAGTTCTCTATCAACAGGCATATTTAAAACTAAGGTAAAGGGCATTGTCAAAAGACTTACCTGTTCACCAGGAGATGTGTATGTCATGTCTGTTTGGGTAAGGGTGTGTCTGTACGTGCAGGCAGTGTGTCTGTTCGTGCCAAGTAAAGTGTCTATTCAAGCAGTAAATGTGTCTGTTCGTTGAGAGTTGTKCCTGTCCGAAAGTAAAGTCAATAGGCACAGTCCCAGTTCTGGTCTAAGTCCAGGGGTCAGTCCAGATCCAGACTTTCAAGTCCAAATTCAGGCCGGGAGGCCTCAGCAGCAGTTGAACTTCGTTTGGGACTCTACTGGGACACATGCAATGCAGGGTCTGGGACAAAAGGAAGGCTGGATTGAGCCAATACAGACCCAGCGAGGAGTATAAAGGAGGCAGCCAGCCTCATTCCGACCCAGATCTCCACTGGCTGCCAATGCGTGGAAGTGCTGGTGCACTTGTGCGCTGAGTCAGGAGGAGCAGCGCTGGAGAAGAAGATGCGCTGGAGGAAGGAAGATGCCTGTATGCTGGAAGTGATGCAGCCATAGCTGCCCAGCGAGTTGGCATTAGAAGTAGAGGGTTAGTATGTAGCTATGAGTAGTATCCAGAGTAGATCCTCATGAGTATTGAAGAGTGTATATGCATCATAAGAGGAAGGGATTGAGGCTGAGAGTGTTCATTCAAGGTTGGCTATGGAAGATACTTACCTGAGTTGGATGTGATCTGCAGAGGTGGCATTGATGAGTGGTGACCACATTGATGACTTGGAGACTATCTGCAGGGGTAGCACTGATTCACTGGAAGGCATATTGATGAGTTGGCAAGATATTGGTGTTGCGCTGATGAGCGCTGGACTCAGGGAAACTTTGAAACACTTTGTATTCATATTTTTTGATAATATAAGCTGTGAAACTCGGTTCTCATCTTCTCTACCTTTGTCTATTATCAGACTACTGTTCGTTGTGTGTGGGAGAACGATGCATGGCATGTACACACTTGCGTGAGATGGTCTCCAGGACCCATGCATTTCTATTTGCAAGAAGCTAATTGATAAAGTTCCAATATATATATTTTTATTTTTATTTTTTCAGGTACCAAATTGGATACCCGAACTCCCGAAGTCTGCTTTTTCGGTCTGTTAGATTTTTTTATTTTTTTTTTATAACTAGGCTATATTCTTCTCTCAAATCTTTCATCATCCTGTTATAATTTTTTTTATTTTTTTTTTTAAGGTTCCTTTTTTGGCCGGTAACCGTATGGGGCCTACCGTCTTCGTCCGGTCTTTTTTTTTTTCTTTTTTGTTTTTTTCGCCCGGTCATTCTAGCTGAGATGTATTTGGCGATAATTACCGGGCCTTCTATTCGGGATGAAGATGGGTAGTGCCGAGCCTGTCGTTAGGAAAGACGAGAATAAATCAAAGTAGACAAAAATAATAATAAATAATAAATAATACTGGGACGAAGTTCCACTTACCCGAGTCCTTCATTTCTTTCTTTTTTGTTGAAATATTTTTTTTTTAATTACGGGCCCAGTGGCCAAGGCATTTCTACGGTAGCCGTAGATTATCAAGACCAATGGCCAGAACCGGACCCCAAAAAAGTTGAGAAAAAACTCCACAAAAAAAAAAAAACGAAGAATGCGGATGATGACGATGACGGTGCTGAACGATGATGATGATGATGATGATGATGATGATGATTGTGATTTAAAAAAATCCATCAACTAAAAAAATAAAAGAGAAAAGAAAATCGATCGACCGCCATGTTCACTATCTCTTATCACTCCATCATCATCGTCGTGGCGATCGACATGATGATGTCGCCATCGCCGTCGAGCTCTCAGCATCACCATAGCCATCAGCATCTGTTATCGTCAGTCCGCCATCTACATCCTCATCATCATTATGGTCACCATCGCCATCATCCTCCATTACCATCATCATGTCCGCCAATCATCATCAATCTCTTTTCCTCCATCATCATCATCATCCAGTCATCATCATCCAGTCATCATCATCATCATCATCATCATCCAGCCATCATCATCATCATCATCATCCAGTCATCATTCATCATCATCCAGTCATCATCGTCATCATCATCGTCATCATCATCGTCATCATCATCACCATCCAGTCATCATTCATCATCATCCAGTCATCATCGTCATCATCATCGTCATCATCGTCATCATCGTCATCCATCGTCATCATCATCGTTCAGCACCATTGTTCTCATCACCATCGTCATCATCATTCAGCACCATCATCATCATCATCATCATCATCCAATCATCATCCAATTATCATCCAATCATCATCATCACCATCATCATTATCATACAATCATCATCCATTCATGATCCAATCATCTATCATCCAATCATTATCACATCATCATCATCCAATCATCATCCAATCGTCATCAAATCCTCATGCAATCATCATCCATCATCATCGTTCAGCACCATTACTCTCATCACCATCGTCATCATCATTCAGCACCATCATCATCATCATCATCCAATCATCATCCAATTATCATTCAATCATCATCATCACCATCATCATTATCATACAATCATCATACAATCATCATCCAATCATCTATCATCCAATCATTATCACATCATCATCATCCAATCATCACCCAATCATCATCAAATCCTCACGCAATCATCATCCAATCATTATCACATCATCATCATCCAATCATCATCCAATAATCATCAAATCCTCATGCAATCATCGTCATCATCATTCATCATCATCATCGGCAGCAGCAGCAGCAGAAGCATTCAGCACCATTGTTCTCATCACCATCGTCATCACCATTCCCCCCATCATTTTGCCCTGTCCCAATCATCACCGATTTAATCCGTTATCATTCTCATCATCATCAACATCGCTATCCTCTTCGTCTTCATAACCATCATCACCATCAATCTCATCCTTGAGCATCATCACCCCGCCGACCACTCATCATCATCATCACCCATACTAATTAGTCATCAGTCTCGTCATGAGCGCCACCTCTCACATCACGATGATCATCATCATCATTATTGACATCGAAGCCCTTTACAGCAACAGCGATGGACACATCATCTTCATCTTTTCCATCATTGAACTTTATTATTTGATTTAATTTAATTAATTAATTAATTAATATCAATATAACCTAGGCTACCAGCCGGGCCGCCCGGGTCCCGGGTGGCCAGCCCGTGCAAAGGCCAGTGAAGGTCCAAGCAAAAAACAAATAAAAAAAAAAAAATCAAAAAAAAAAAATCAAAAACATCCGAAAAAAATCTATGTTATGCAGAAAAATAAATTGAACAACTTTTGCCTCAGGGTCACGTCGAAATTCTTCACCGAATTGATAATAAAAAATAAATTTTAAAAATACTGTTTTTTTTTTTTTTTTTTTGGTCCGGCCGGGCAAGTGACCCCGGGCCACTCTGGTAGCCTAGAATATAACTCAGTAAGTGAAATAATTTACATAATTTAAATAATTAAATCCTTTTTTTTCCGGGAGGATTCGCACAGCAACAGCTATGGACACATCATCATTCATCTTTTCCACCATTTAACTTTATTATTTTATTTAATTTAATTAATTAATTAATTAATGTAAATAAGTGAAATAATTTACCTAATTTAAATAATTAAATCGTTTTTTTCCCCGGGAGGATTCGATTAAAAAAAACATTGCCAGCCAAAGAGGAGATGAAAAGAGATTCCTGATTAAATAAATAAATCCTTTTAATCTAGGCTACCAGAATGGCCCGGAACTACTTGCCCGGCCGGGCCAAAAAACATTTAAATAATTAAAAATATATACTTTTTTTTTTTTTTTTAATTTGGTACACAATTTCGATGTGACCCTGGGGCCTGGACCCACTAGCGAAGTATTCTACGACGTGTGACACAGTTTTATGTTTTTTTGGAAAATACAAAGTGTTTTTTTATTTGCATGAATGGATCTTTTTCTGATTTAAAATGAATTGAAATAGCATATAAAACTATGAAGAACAGCTGTGCACCCGAATTCTTGGGTTGGTACGATCTCCTTCACGTAAGTCTGCATAGTGATGTACCGTGGCAATAAAATGTGTCCACGAACACAGCCACGAGGATGAACAAGTAATGGCTATAGGGATACATTCATCCCCATGTATCTCATGATGCCTCTAACAGGCCATCCGGCAGACGCGGAACAGTTCCTGTCAGATCCACCACGATATCTTAATTTCACATTTCAAGTTCTATTCCTCAGAGCCCCAAAAAAAAAAAAACGAAGTCTGGAAATCATCCCCCCCCCTTTAGAGCCCATAAAATCCAGACTTCCCGCCCGCGCAAAGCCACGAGCTATCATGTCCAACTTAGTCCAACTTTGTTTTTGTTTTTTTTTCGAAGCATCTCATTGGTGGATGGGAGGTGGGCATCTTTACAGTCCCCTCTCGGAAACTACCAGGCCGTCGAGATCCGATCTATTCGACGGCCGTACTGAGTCACTCGATGCCACACGTGATCGAAATCCTGAACGGCGTGGTAGAATACCTTGCTAGTGGGTCCAGGCCCCTGAGGAAAAAGTTTTTTTCAGTTTATTTTTCTGCATAACATTGTTTTTTTTTTGGGGGGGGTGGTTGCTGGGACCTTCCCTGGTCCTTGCACGGCCGGACCGCCCGGGAAAACAGGGTGACCCGGGCGGACCGGCTGGAAGCCTAGTTTTAAATCCGATTTTGATAATATCATTCAAATTAAATAATTGTAAAAACTCAAAAATCGGACATAGATTGCCAAGTTTCAGCATATCCTGGGGATATTCCCTTGTACTTCTTTTCTTCCTTTCACTTTTTTTTTTTTTTACTTTTTTTTTTGGGTTCCATTTAACTGCTGGCTCGGGAGTGTAGCTCAGGCAGGGGTCTTTTAGGGGAAGACGAGGAGGGGGGCGGGGGAGGGGAGGAAGGGGGCGAAACCCCCCCCAAAAAAAAGACAAACGGGGTCTTAAAGGGGGCTAGATTGATTGATGGGCTCAATTAATGAGGCCATTCATCATTCGGGGGAATCTGATCTACTTACCCAGACAGGAGAGGAGAGGGGGGCAAGAAAACAATAAGAAAAAAAGGGGTCTTCAAGGGGGTCTTTAAGGGGTAGATGGATTGATGGGCTCCATTAATGAGCCCACCCATATGATTCGGGGAATCTAATCTAATCTACTTACCAAGGGAGCAGGGGGGAAAAAAAAAAAAAAGAAAAAGAATTCTTTAATTAAAGGGTTTTTAAGGGGGTCTTTAGCAGGTCTTTAAGGGGATCTTCAAAAGCGTCTTTGATTAAGGGGTCTTTAAGGTGGTCTTTAAAAGGGTCTTTGATAAAGGGGTCTTCAGGGGGGGTGTAGATGCAGTGATTGGCTCCATTAAGGAGGCCAGCCATTGTTCGAGGAACTACTCAATCTAATCTACTTAGCGAGACAAGAGGGCAGAGGGGAGCAGAAAACGACAAAAACATATGCGTTCTTTAAGGGGGTCTTTAAGGGGTGGTTTAAGGGGGTCTTTAAGGGGGTAATCTAATCTGCTTACCGGGACAGGTAGCGTCCGATCGAAGCATGATAGACTCTGCTTCGTCGGAAGAAAACGAAAGAATCACAAATGGGTTCTTTAAGGGGGTCATTATTTTGAGGATCTTGAGGGGGTCTTTAAGGGGGTAATCTAATCTACTTACCGAGACAGGTAGCGTCTGATCGAAGCGTGATAGCCTCTGCTTCGTCGGAAGAAAACAAAGGAACACAAATGGGTTCTTTAAAGGGGTCTAAGAGAGGGAGGGGGGGGTTGAGGGGGTCTTTAACTGGGTCTTTAAGGGGGTCTTGAAGGGGGGGTCTTTCGGGGGTCTTTCGGGGGTCTTTAAGGAGGTAATCTAATCTACTGACCGAGACAGGTAGCGTCTGGTCGAAGCATGATAGACTCTGCTTCGTCGGCTTCATCGAAGGCTTGCCCTTGATCTTTGCATTGCAGTATTCGTATGTGAACAGCTGGCCAGCCACGTCGTTCGACATCTTGCAGATCTGTCAGAGGAGGAGGAGGAGGAGGAGGAGGAAGACTGACGGAGCTCCGCGCGCAATGACAGGAGGTGTACATATATAGAAATCTGTTCTGTTGTCGAGCGGCGTTGTGTTTGCCAAAGCCCCCCCACAGCGGGGAAGCCCCTCCCCCCTCCTGCCCCCCTACCGCGTCTTTATGGCGCAAAGGACGAGCTCGGCGCGCAGCGTTCGATCGCGTCTTACACGTGTACTGGCGTCTGTCGCCGTATCTCACTCGGCACGCAGTACTGGGATCAACAAAGAAGCCGGCCTCCAATTGTTGTTGTCGTCATCATATAGATCACACAACGAGGTCACGAGAGAAGCACATTCCGGTAGAATATCACTTGTCAGTTCTTGTCTTTTCTCTCTCTCTCTCTCTCTCTCTCTCTCTCTCTCTCTTTTCGTTTTTCCTTTACCATTTCTAATCATTTTCGCTCGCAAACTGATTGCCCTGCATTTTCTCGGTTCATTTGCGCATTCGCATTTTCCCTTGCGCCCCTCCCGCCTCCCCCCCGCCCAAGCACATGCACCCACACACGCTCCCCAAACCCCAACCACACACGGCCACACTCCCCCCCCCTCCCTCCGATTGTTTGCTCTTCAAATTCAATTTGGGTTTTTCTAGACCTCGACCCTCTGATTGGGATCTCGACCAAGTATCACCACTCCTGCACGCACTCCTCATCCCACATGCATCCATAGCCTCGCGTCTCCCAATCTGATTGGGATCTCTACCAAGCATAAGAACTGTTCCCCACTCTCTCTCTCTCTCTCTCTCTCTCTCTCTCTCTCTCTCTCTCTCTCTCTCTCTCTCTCTCTCTCTCTCTCTTTGTGTACTCCCCACCTATGACTATATAAATAGATATATGGTATATCTATGTTCTCCACCTATCTACCTATCTACCTATCTATCTATCTATCTATGGATCGATGGAGAGCGATCGAACGAACGAGCGAGTGATCTACACATCTCCCTAAATCATCGAGTGCTTGTCTGTCTCCCCTCTCTATGATAGTCCTTCGACAGACCAATTCGCTCTTCAATCGGGCAATCAATCCTCTGATCGATTTCCCCTTTAATCGATCAATCAATCCACTGATCGATTCACTCCTCAATCGATCAATCAACCCGATTCATTCTTCAATCGATTGGATTCACTCTAATTGATCGATTCGATCTTCGATCGATCAAATCCACTAATTGATTAATTTATTACAGAAAACTCTTTTAGTCGGTCAATCCACGGACTGAACTTTCATCGATCAATCGACTGAACTTTCATCGATCAATCAGTGACCGATCTTTCATCGATCAATCGACTGAACTTTCATCGATCAATGCACTGATTGGATTTACCGACTTCACCTCTTTTTTTAATCGATGGATTCACTCTTTCAGTAGCTCGGGTGATTGATTAATTCACTTCTTCAATTGATCGGTTAAATCTTTCGAATCCTTCATTCATTCCATCATTCCATCAATCAACCAATCTGCTGATTTTTTTTTCCTTTTCTTGTTTTCTATCATTTTTGTATTCTGATAATCTAATATTTAGTAATTCATAGCCTGCAATCGAGTTAAAAAAAAAAAAAAAAAGTATGTTGTTTGGCGAAAAGGAGGTGGTGGCAAATCCACTGCCCTGCCTCAAATAGTACACCCATGAGCTGTTGAGATGCAGATCTGCGCTCGGATCCGATCAAGACAAGATTTGCAACGTGGATCTTGCATTTGACCAAGGCGTAACCTTAACGAGAGTATGGCTTTTGGGGGTGTATTTCGACGAGATCAATGGCTAGATTCATTCTAGTATTGGATGTACTTGGACGAGGATGATCCAGCCAGATCGATTTGAGAAAGGGCCTCGCTCCACTACTCTCAACATGCACAAAAGGCAAAATAATTGCGGTGGTGTATCTTTCCATGTTCTAGTCGGAGATTCACTCTCGGTTTGCACATGTCGAGAGTAGTGGAGCGAGGCCCTGTATTTGGACGAGATCAATGGCTAGATTCATTCGAGTATATTGGATGTACTTGGACGAGGATGATCCAGCCAGATTGATTTGAGAAAGGGCCTCGCTCCACTACTCTCAACATGCATAAAAGACAAAATCATTGCGGTGTATCTTTCCATGTTCTAGCGGAAGATTCACTCTCGTTTTGAACATGTCCAGAGAAGTGGAGCGAGGCCCAAAGTCTTGGGTGCGTTTTGACGATGCTGAGGCCGTTCATATGATTTTTTTTTTTTTCCCAACTGGATAAAAGAATTGTGCTATGAAGAATATAATAAGCACTTTTTTTTTTTTCAATCTAGAGTAAAGTACCTAGAAAACTAGATCCAGGGTTATTCTTTTATATAAATAAAAAAAAAACATTTTTATATCAAGAATTCGTTCCTCGAATTGATCGCAAAATTCTATAGACAGTCGTACTGATAGTCAGCAGAACATTTCCCGCCAAAAAAAAAAAAAAAAAAAAAAACAATCAAGAAAGATTTGCCATTGATTGCATGGGCATTACCCGCCCGCTACCTTTTGATTTTTCTTCCCTAAAGAAAAAAAAGGGATGTGCTCGGACGACGTTAGCGCCCAGATGCATTCGCAAAAGCCTTGGATGTATTTGATCGGGACTAGCGGCCAGATTCATTGAGTAGTTGTATGGAATCCTTGCTGTCGTGGCAAATCCTGTGTGAGAGATACAACTAGTTTTTTTTTTTTTTTTCCGTTCATAACCAAACATCAGCGACTCATATTTCCAGATAATGTAGAAGATCAGGTAATTGAATTGGTTAGGCTTAAAGAAATAGCCTTAAAAAAAAAAATAAAAAAAAATCCAGATAATGTCGAAGATCACCATATAAGAAGGTCCCAAACCCATTTACCCAACAAAGTTGAACAAACCCATTTTCCAAGAGATCTTTGTTCTCATGTCAGAGATTATGAAAGGTTATGTACTAGCGATCGCAAGTGCTGGAGATATTGTTCCCAAATAGAGAACACCCCATCCACGGCAATAAGAGTAAGATACTCTCAGCAGACTACAAGCATTTATATATGTGACCACCTACGATCACCAGGAAGAAGCCTCGGAACTGCATCTCCCACTGGCTCCCTCTTGGCAAAACATGTGCCTCCCCTCTCCATCCCATGACAACCACGACTGTCAAGCAGCCAATCAAGTCCCCAAGCGACGCATGTCAGTTCATCACTTCAGCTCCTCATCATCCGTCCTCCATCGCTCACAACCGCTCCACACCTCGATCCACCACTTGAGGTAAAGTCCGGATACGAAGCTGAGCACAGTCCAGTAGCTGAGCACAGATTTGATCATCGTGGTTCCGTGCACTGGAAACGACCGATCCCGGAATCTGCCGTTCCGGAATTCGTCGTACAGTGAATTTTTTTTCCAGCCCGCAGAAAGTTTTCGAGTCTATTTGCACTCAGTAATAACCCCCACGATGATCAAATCTGAATGTCTCCAGACTGACTAATCGGCGAAAATTGCATCATGAATCATGATCAGTACTACCTACCTTCCAAATACAATCACACAGATTGTATAAACAAAGGTGATTCCAGAACACTGCCGCGCAGTGCAGTGCAAGTCAAACAGATTACAATAGCAAAAGAGAGAGAGAGAGAGAGAGAGAGAGAGAGAGAGAGAGAGAGAGAGAGAGAGAGAGAGAGAGAGAGAGAGAGATTCCCCACCATTCGCTCGGTTTGAGAGGCAGAGACTGGAGCCACACTGGTCCTGGCTAACACAGTCCGGAAGGTATGTCCGATCTAAAATATATGCCCCCGCTCTACATGCTTCACATCCACGCTTCTCCATCTGCTGCTGATCCAGATCTCGTGTGATTTGGTAATCAAGCATATGATAGACAAACGCGACAGCAAAACGAGACCAAAAGAAACAAAAAGCAGAATAGAAAAGAGCTAGCGAGAGGGAAAAACCTCTTTGCGTACTAGCTATTTAACCAAGTACATCCCCACTTCAGAAACGGCAAACGACGGACACACGAGAGGGTGAAACCGCCGCCGTTAATCTAGAGGGTCTGATTACTGATTACTCGACCCCCACCATTCCCTAGGGGACGAGATCATCCGCAAAGAGGATGGCGAGGGTTCTCTAGTACCCACCACCTCGCGACCGGCTGCTGTAGCCGCCATCGTTTTATCCACCGCCATTGCCCTACCCACTGCCATACCGGTCGCTGTCGCCACCATAGCGACCGCCGCCACGAGAGCCAAAGCCGCCGCCGCCGCCGCCGCCGCCATGACTTCGGCCACTTCTTGCTTGAGCTTGGTTCACAGTGATGGATCTGTTGTCCAACCGAAAGCCATTCATTGTGCAAATGGCGCTGTTGATGGACTTCTCGTCAGCGATAGCGACGAACCCAAAGCGTCTCGACCTGCCAGTCTCACAGTCCAAGATGACCTTGCAGTCCACCACGTCGCCGCACTGGCGGAATGCAATTCGCAGAGCTCGGTCATCCGTAGCCCAAGCGAGACCTTCCACAAAGCACTGGTCCTCTGTCGTGGGT